TGACCTTTCAGTTCCAAAAAAAAAAAAAAAAAGATTAAGAACGACTACAATACAGACTTATAGATAACTGAATCACAGGAAATGGGAGGTGTGGGCTGGTTTTATCAGATAAAGCTACCTTCATTCATATTCTCCTTCATTAAGGTCCAAAAGGGGTGTGGGACCTCTTTTTATATTAGACATACCTCTAACGTTATCTCATATGCTGCAAGTTTTTTTTTTAAAGATATTGGGCAGCGGAATGAGGCATGGATTTTACTCTCATTTTAGAAGAGCCACAATGTAACTACATACCAGATGACTCTTCCAAAGATGTCTCTTCTCCAAGCACCAGGTCGAGCTCTTTCTTGACCAGTCTGAAGAAGCCTTATGGCATCTTCTCTTTCCTGGACAACGGTATCTAAAGCATCCATGGACTCTACTACCTGAAAAGAGAAGAGAAAGATCTTCCTGGACAACTGTATCTAATGCAGCCAAGGAATCTGCTACCTGAAGAGAATGGAAATACCCAATTTTAACAATCACCTACTACAAAATTCAAAGAAAGAGAATGTATAGACACTTCTGCTACAAAAAATTAATGATAAATATTTATGCCAAAGAACCACTCTGTTAAGTACTTCCTAAAAATCTTTTTGGCACACGAAGGTCTACATGGGTGTCTATATTACCACTTTCTATATTTTTAAAAAAGCTTATAGTTGTATTTAAATACAAATCTATTTCCATATATTAGTTTTGTTTGGAGTGAGATACACTTATACCAATTCTTTTTGGAGACCCAATCTGAATCATGTTATTTCAAAACTCAATGAGCTAATAAGAAGTGATAACAATTTGCTATTTTCATTACCTTAAAAAAGACATGTTTTGGTCTCAACTAATCACTGTGTCCCTGACATGCAGATATGGATATTGTGGCCTGCTTGGCAGCTGTTGCTGCTACAGGGAAAGGAATACAGTCCATGCAGAAATGAATCTCCAAAGATTTATCAAGATGCAAGATGACACTATTAAACTTCTATTTCTTTTTATCACTTTAAGATTTCTATGGTGTTATAATGTATATATTTGCAGAGTAATATGTGTATGTGTATATACATATATGTGTATATATATATATATATATATATATTTTTTTTTTTTTTTTTGAGACAGAGTCTCTCTCTGTTGCTCAGGCTGGAGTGCAGTGGTGTGATCTTGGCTCACTGCAACCTCCACCTCCCGGATTCAAGTGATTCTTCCGCCTCAGCCTCCCAAGTAACTGGGATTAGAGGTGCCCGCCATCATGCCCAGCTAATTTTTCATATTTTTAGTAGAGATAGTGTTTCACCATGTTGGCCAGGCTGGTCTCAAACTCCTGGCCTCAGATGATCCGCCCAACTTGGCCTCCCAAAGTGCTGGGATTACAGGCATGAGCCACCACACCTGGCCTTACATATGTTTATATATGAATATTCATGGCTGGGCATGGTGGCTCCTGTAATCCCAGCACTTTGGGAGGCCGAGGCAGGAGGACCACCTGAGGTTGGGAGTTCATGACCAGCCTGATCACAATATGGAGAAACCTCATTTCTACTAAAAATACAAAATTAGCTGGGCGTGGTGACACATGCCTTTAATCCCCCAGCTACTCAGCAGGCTGACAAGGAGAATTCCTTGAACCAGGGAGGCAGAGGTTGCAGTGAGCGGAGATTGTACTCCAGCCTGGGCAAAAAGGAAAAAACCCCCTCTCAAAAAAAAAAAAAAAAAAAAAAAAAAAAAAAAAACACAAAACAAAATAAATATATGTATGTTGGGGATTGAAACGTGAGATGGACCAAACTTTTTCATAGTTCTAAAGACATACTGAGAGCCATTTTATGTGTATCACCCTTGAGCATCACAACAGGTATCAAATACTGCATAAACACATTTGTTTCTCATAAAAATCCTCAAAAAAAGCACAGATTATGGACAGGCGTGGTGGCTCACGCCGGTAATCCCAGCACTTTGGGAGGCCGAGGTGGGCAGACCACAAGGTCAGGAGTTCAAGACTAGACTGGCCAACTTGGTGAAACCCTGTCTCTACTGAAAAATACAAATATTAGCTGGGCATGGTGGCTCCTGCCTGTAATTCCAGCTACTTGGGAGGCTGAGGTAGACCCAGGAGGTAGAGGTTGCAGTGAGCCGAGATCGCACCACTGCACTCCAGCCTGGGCTACAGAGCGAGACTCCATCTCAAAAAAAAAAAAAAAAAAAAAAAAGCACAGATTATAAAGATAATCTCCCAGGTAGCTGGTAGCTATGAGGTCTGAAAAACATGTGAAAGCCACACATTTAGACAAAATTGCTTGATAATCTGTTTTGCTTTTGTTTTTTTGAGACGGGGTCTAGCTCTGTTGCCCAGGCTGGAGTGCAGCGGCATGATCTTGGCTCACTACAACCTCTGCCTCCCAGGCTCAAGCAATCCTCCCACCTCAGCCTCCCAGGTAGCTGTGACTACAGGCATGTGCCATCGAACCTGACTAATTTTTGTATTTTTTTGGTAGAGATAGGGTTTTAACATGTAGCCCACGCTGGTCTCCAACTCCTTGGGCTCAAGTGACCTACTTGCCTTGGCCTCCCAAAGTGCTGAGAATACAGGCGTGAGCCTCTGCCCCAGCCCATAACCTGCTGTGCTCACACTCAGCACTTCCGCGATCCTCAGCTTCACTACTCGACACAGTAGCTGAGTTCACATGCCTTCCTCTCAACTATTTTAGTTTCTACAAAATCCCTGAAAAAGAAAAGATGACTAAGACAAATTCTATTTTGAAGACAAACTTAGGAGAAAAGGGACCACAGTGATAAGGGCTTTATACAAAACTCTCCAATCTTTAGAAATTTTTAGTAAATCTGGTTGTTGACTAACTATATTAAGCAGTTTGCCTTAGTAAGGGTAAGATTGAGGCTTCTAGCTGAAATCCAATGTTAGCTCACAAAGATAGAAAGTAAATGGCTACCAAGTCCACAGAATTCACATTCAAAAGTTCATGCCAACAAATGTGAAGGAAAGTCAAAAGTGTTATTTAGATATACCTTACTGAAAACAAGTCAACCTGAAAGAGCCTTCTTCTCTAGTTTGTAAGTTTCTCAGTGCTAAGAGTGCCAGTTGAGAGAATATAAAACTAACAGAATTGTGCTCCAGGGTTCTTACCCAGCACAATATACGCTTCTATTTATAGCCAAGAATTAATTACAGAGTAGCCCTCAAAACACATTTTTAAAAAGAGACAAAGAGATACACCTGCAAAATTGTAATCTGTCTTTTATCATTTGCCTTTTTTCTGTATTTCAAACACAAGAGGACTAACATAACATCATTTATTTGGGTGATAAATAGGTACTAATACTCCGAAAAGAAGCACATATAGTCAGAATATTTATCTCAAATGGAGAGTTACTACTTTACTTATAATCATAGCTAACTATTCTGCCAGAATTATAACATTTCTCCCTTAATTTTCATATTATTCTGTAAGTAAAATTTGTCTGTAATATGCTTGAAATGGGTATCAACTCAGATCAGCCGAGTGAAAAGAACTATGTAACAATTATAATTCTTCTTTTGTCCTTTACTCTTCCTTAGACAGTTTCAGATCTTTGGTTTCTATCTTACATTGCAAATTTTTTTTAAAAAAATTTTTCCTTAATAAAGTTTCCTTAGTGGTATGTCACAAAACACTGGTAACACCAGATATATTTGAAGTTTGAAAAAATTATGGTCACTTTCAGCTTATCTGGAGTAAATTTTTATTATTTTGGGTTCTGCTGATTCAGAAAGTCCAGTAGATATGACCTGTTGGGCTGGAGTGCACCTCTGAAATACAGATTCAAAGCAATCCACTGTTGACGTTCAAAAGTTCTGTAACAGACCAATTATAGCCAAAACTTGTTCATCAAATAAACAATGTGTTCTTTATAAAGCATCCTTACTTGTCATTGCACTTATTTTTTGAGACAGAGTCTTGCTGGGTCACCCAGGCTGGAGTATACTGGCATAATCATGGCTCACTACAGCTCAACCTCCCAGGCCCTATACTTTAAGCAAATTTCACTGTCAGGAAACACAATGAGTTTCCAGATTAAAGGACACTAAAGAGATACATGAAAAATTCATGATGCGGAATTTTCTTTTGCCACAAAAGACACCGTTGGGATAACTGATAGTCTAAATAAGATCTGTAGATTCATGATGCGGAATTTTCTTTTGCCATAAAAGACACTGTTGGGATAACTGATAGTCTAAATAAGATCTGTAGATTCATCTAATTATATTGTATCAATGTTAATTTCCTGATTTTGAAAATTGCATAGTGGTTATATAAAGGAATAACCTGGTTTCTCTTAAGTTTTTATAGATAAAGGGATGTCACATGTACAACTTACTCTCAAACATTTGAGAAAAAATAGTGCGTGTGGAGGGGTGATGGACTCATTGAAGGATAAGGTAAATGCAGTAAAATAGTCACATGGGGATCTGGGCAGAGGGCATATGAGAATTCCTTCTAGTATTCTTACAATTTTTCTGAGTCTAATATTTTGTCAAAATAAAGGTAAACGAACGAAAATATGGCCAGGCGCAGTGGCTCACACCTATAATCCCAACACTTTGGGAGGCCGAGATGGGAGGATCACGAGGTCAGGAGTTTGAGACCAGCCTGGCCAACATGGTGAAACCCCATTTAAACCAAAAGTACAAAAATTAGCTGAACATGGTGGTGCGTGCCTATAATCCCAGTTACTTGGGAGGCTGAGGCAGGAAAATCACTTGAACCTGGGAAGTGGAGGTTGCAGTGAGCCATGATATCACACCACTGCACTCCAGCCTGAGCGACAGAGTCAGACACTCCTTGCCACAAAAGGAAAAAAAAGTTGCAGGTGGGAATGAGGAATGACTGCTGATGAGTATGAGATTTCTTTTAGGGGTCATGGAAATGTTTCCAAATGAGCTGTGCTGGTTGCACTACTCAAATTTACTAAAAATCAAACAAATAAGAAAAAAAGAAATCTATTTGACAAGTAATACAGGAACCACATATCCACTCCTTTTTGCTGTAATCCCACGGCCCAGTCCTTCCTTCTCCAGCCACTCTGGATTTGGCATTGGCAACCTCTCCAGCCTCCCTAGTCCTTCCTTCTCCAGCCGCTCTGGACTTGGCATTGGCAACCTCTCCAGCCTCCCCAGTCCTTCCTTCTCCAGCCGCTCTGGACT